GTAACATAGCCCCTCTTATGCCCGTTCTTCCGAATGATCTGCTACCTCCAACCCATAGCTCACCAGCAGCCCTGGCTGGTGGAGTGCCCCTTCTACCCCCGGCCCTGTCACCACAGGTAGTTCCCTTCCCGGGAGTCCGGATAGCACATGCAGATGAATTTGACGCGGTAAGCTCCCATGGTTACCAGTCCCCACCAGATTCCAGGGAGGTTTCGCCCCAACCTCCGCGACGTTCTCTTAACGATCCCTTTTGTCGCAAGGTTCAAGGGGACAAAGCCCCGGTAATGTATGTTACCTTTAACCCAACACAGGCCAGTGCCCTGATGAAGTCACTCCCTGACCCAGAAAAGCAACCTATGCCCTTTTACAGAGCAGTGGTCCAGATTCAACAGACCTATTTCGCCGCATGGCGTGATTTGCTGAGCCTCTGTGCCATTAAGGCTGGAGATGCCTACTGGCCTAGCATTGCTCGCCACCTATGCACTAATTGGTTGTCAAGTGATACTGATTATACGTCCGGAATTGAGTTTTGTGATCAGCTAAAAACTTGGGCCAAAGATAAACTTGCTGATCAGGCAGCCGGACTTAATGATATTGTCCAGGAAAAAGGTGAATCCGTAGAGAGGTTTCACGCTAGACTCTTTCAAGTATTCTCTGACCTAGGGTTTGAACTTAGCAATAAAATACATGCCCAAATGCTTTCTGGTGCCTTTGTACAGGGCATCAAAGACTCTATACGGAAAGGTATTATTGCTGCCCGCCCTGAGTATAGAGTGGTTTCCCTTGATAAGCTGCTTTTAGTTGCCAGAGGTTTGGAGGCAGCACAGGTGCCAAGAAGATCCAATCCCACCCCCCTTATGGTATCACGCCCGCCGATTCCCAGAGGCACTAGGCCTGAGGATGGAATTTGCTTTAATTGTGGGGTGAAAGGCCATTTTAGAAGTGACTGCCCTGAACCCATAAAACACCGGAGACCATACGCTGGCAAACAAACTTCCAAGCCCGCCACTACCACGAAGGCCCCAGAAACCCCTTCACCTGATTCAACCCAAGAAGACTAGGACACCGGCAAGCCTGTGTCATTAACCCCTGTTATGGCAGTGTCTTCAGGGGAACAAGGGGGGCCTCTAGCTACTGTAATTTTACCCATTGAGGGCCAGCCCACCACTTTCCTAGTTGACACAGGTGCAGCCCGAAGTGTTCTGAGAGAACAAGACCTGCCCGATACCTAATTTCTTTCCAATATTGATGTCTCCTGTGTTGGGGTGGACGGCCTTCCAAGGCAAAGTCCCCTGTCCACCCCACTGCGGGTTGGTAACTGCCACAACTTGCTTGCTCGCTTTGTGGTATCTTCCACATGCCCCATTAACCTGTTAGGAGCTGATGTTCTTTCACGCCTGCAGGCATCTATCACCTTTACTCCAGATGGACAAGTGGAACTATCCACCCCTCTATCTGTCTCAGACACCTCAGCTTTGTGCTCCTTACCCCTGATGCTACATCTAGAACAGCCTCATGGGGATGCAAAAGACCTAAGGACTAATTTCCCTGATTCACTAAAGACTGATGTTCCCAAGAAACTGTGGTCCACAGGCCCAGAGGAAATAGGCCATCTAAAGGTCCCACCTGTGGTGGTAAAGCTCATCCCAGGAGCAAAATTGCCACGAAAATCACAGTATCCTTTGAAACCAGCTCAAGCTGCAGCCATTACAATTCAAATTCAAGCACTCCTGGAGAAGGGTGCTCTTGTCAAATGTGAATCACCATGCAATACTCCATTATTTCCGGTAAAGAAAAAGACTCCAAAAGGCGAACCTGAAAAGTACAGATTGGTCCAAGACCTCAGAGCGGTAAATGAAGCCACAGTTTTGGACACTCCAATAGTGCCCAACCCACACACTCTCCTTTCCGGCGTTCCACCCTCTGCCAAGTACTTCACAGTCATTGATCTGGCCAATGCCTTCTTCAGTGTTCCCCTGGATCCAACTTGCCAATATCTGTTTGCTTTCACACATGAAAAACAACAGTACACATGGACTGTCATGCCCCAAGGGGCACAAAATTCACCAAGTCAATTTGCGAAGGCCATGTGCTCTATCCTTGATCCATGGCAATCTGACCATCCTGAGGTCGTCCTGCTTCAATATGTGGATGATTTGCTGCTTTGTGGAGATGATCTACCCACAACAGAACAATGCTCAATTAATCTTCTTTGCTACCTAGCAGAACAAGGATGTAAAGCTTCACGTCTCAAGCTGCAATTCTGCCAACCTACTGTTATCTTCCTTGGCCATTGTCTGTCTCAGGGAACCAGACATCTTACCCGTGACCGAGTTAGAGCAGTACTGGACATTCCACCTCCAAGGACCTCGAAGTCACTACACGCCTTCCTAGGCCTCATTTCCTATTGCCGAGCATGGATCCCAGAAGCCTCGCTCCTTATGCAACCTCTTTATGATGCTCTCAAGTCAGACCCATTTTGCTTGTCCACAGAAGCCCTTGACAACTTCTGTTCTCTCAAACGTGCTATTGCTTCTGCTCCTGCTCTTGGCCTACCAGACTATACCAAACCCTTCAAATTGTTTGTTTCTGAAAGACAAGGCCATGCAACAGGAGTCTCACTCAGGCCCATGGTCCTGGAGGCCGCCAAAGGCCTATTGGATTTTTCTCCTGCCAACTGGATATTGTGGCCAGAGGACGTCCCTCTTGCCTTCGGGCCGTCTTTGCTGCCAGAGAGCTCATTGAAAGAACTGGAGATCTTGTCCTTGGCCACCCCCTGGTTGTCTTGGCCCCTCATGACATTTCTGCCATAGTCAACCAGGTCCAACTTAAGCATGTTACTCCTGCTAGGCATCTTTGCCTTCAATGTCATCTTTTGTTGCCTGACAACATTACCCTTCAAAGATGTCAAGTTCTCAATCCGTCCACTCTTCTGCCACTCCCTGAGGGGGGTGTATACTACGGATTCATCATGGACGAAACTTATGTTTTTCTTCTCACTGGCACCATCAAGAAGGAAATGCATCCCAACCTATCCTTTCATGATGGACAAGCACTCCTTCATGACGGAGCAGGATATGCCTTCTGTACCATGTGGTACAAACCAAACATCACTCCTGAACCCTGCTATGAAGATGAACTCTATCATCTGGTCGAAGTAAAACTCACTGCACAAGACTTCTACTGTGATTCTGAAGGCAACAGTATGGTCTTGATTCATCTACCTCCGGAACTCAAGCATTTGTACCGTTATTGGGACACTGCCATTCCACATGTCCCTGTGACCAAGTTGAAAACAATATTATGGAATGATCTTGGGCCTATGGCAAAAGCATGGGCCACTATGGACGAATCAGAGCTACAGGAAAATGGTGTTGTCAAATATCCAACAACTGACCACCTAAAAGCATGGCCACGTCATTTCCTGGAAAATGAGTTCCAAGATTTAACCATAGTGAATGACTACGACCCAGATATACCTCATGACTGTTTTGAACAGATGAAAATGGAAACAACACATCTACCAACTGTGCATGAAGACCCATTGGTAGATCCCGATCTCACCCTGTTTGTGGACGGCTCAAGATATGCTGATGAAGAAGGAAGATACCATACAGGATATGCCGTAACCACAACAGATGAAATTGTCAAATCATGATCTTTACCATCAACTATGTCTGCACAAGAAGCTGAATTGCAAGCCCTGACTTCAGCATGCAAGATCTCTGAAGGAAAGCGCGCCAATATCTACACGGATTCAAGATATGCACTGGGCGTGGCTCACGACTTCGGATTAATTTGGAAAACAAGAGGATTTCTTACCACCGCCGGTACACCAATCAAGCACGGTTCCGCAATCAAGGAGCTGATGGACGCCCTCCTACTCCCAGAAGAAGTGGCTATTTTGAAGATAAAAGCACATGGGAAGTTGGACTCAGATGAAGCAAAGGGCAACCATCTAGCTGATCAGACTGCAAAACAAGCTGCAAAAGAACCACAGGAAGTGGAAAGAAGAGTGTCCGGAAATGAAGAAACTCCCATATTTACTCTGCAGACTCTTCCAACTGACCTGAAAATCCTGCGGGAACAACAGGCTACAGTTGCCCCTGAAGAAATACAGAAGTGGAAACAGAAAGGGGCACTTCTAAGAGATGGAGTGTATTACAACAATCTCAGATTCTGCCTTCCTAAGAATCTATACCCAGCAGTTGTTCAGTGGGCACATGGCCCTGCACACTTATCAAAAGATTTGATGATTGCCCTTGTACAGAAGTACTATGAGGCCCCTGGAATTACCACGCTAGCCAGCAATTACTGCAAGACGTGTGTCATCTGCGCCAAGTGTAATCCGGGGAAAATGGCTAAAGTCCCTCCAAAACACTTGGCCAAGACCATGTACCCGTTTCAAAGAATTCAGATAGACCACATCCAGATGCCAAAGAGTGGCAACTTCGAATATGCACTAGTAATAGTGGACATGTTCTCAGGCTGGCCAGAAGCCTACCCAGTGGTTAACATCACCGCAAAAACAACAGCAAGACGGCTACTTACAGAAATTGTATGTAGGTTTGGACTACCAGAAGTCATTGAAAGTGACCAAGGCCCAGCTTTCACAGCATCAGTAACCAAAGAGATTTGGGCCACCCTAGGAGTGACCCTTGCCTTCCACACACCTTATCACCCACAAAGCAGTGCTAAAAATGTCGCAAGAAACAAAAATGCCCTGGCCCGAAAGCTTGCCATTAGCCATGTTTAGTGTCAGACATACACCCAGAGGGAAGCCCTCATTGTCCCCATATGAGATTCTATTCGGGTCAGCACCCAGGCTAGGTTGCTATTTTCCCCAGCAATTACAACTTCATACTGATGTTTTAGTAAACTATGTAACTGAACTTGCCAATGCTTTGAACAAAATCCATGCCCAAGTTTTCTCTTCAATTCCAGATCCTGATTCTGACACAGGCAACCACAGTCTGCTCCCCGGTGACTGGGTTCTGGTCAAGAAATTTGTGCGAAAACACACCCTGGAACCAAGATTTGACGGACCGTTCCAAGTTCTCCTGATCTCCCCTACCTCTGTCAAATTGGCCGGAAGGCCTAACTGGATCCACGCTTCCCATTGCAAGAAGACACCTGCCTCAGAGGAAGCTAACTCTATGCAACCATGTGCCTCTGGTACATTATCTCTTTAGTTGGCCTCCTTAAAGCCCAGCAGGTGGCCATCACCAAAGATGCTAGTGGGTACACTTTCTGGTATAATTCATCATGTACCCATGTGGCTACATTCACTTTTGATTACTGTGATATTGTAGAATGCCCATTCCCTAAGTCACAGATTCAAGCCATTTATAAAGATATACCACAAGCAAAAGACCCTTACGTTTGTGTAGTAGATGAACAATGGGGTTATGACTGTAACTACTGGGGGGCTGCGGGATGGAATACTGGGCCTGCCTGGGGTTATAAACCCAAAAGTGCTTTATCTAAGATAGACAATCAGGGTAGATCCCTCCTTCAAAGAATGACTTTAAGAAAGCCTGGAGGAAGTACCCCTATGAAATTAATGTTAAATATTGAACATCCTGGCCCCGAGGATGCAGACCGATATGTAATGGGAATGTATTGGAAGAAAGGTTCCTACAACAAATTAGGTCATTTCTACCTCAGAGATATGTACCACTCTCCAGAGTGGCAAGGGGCTGATCATATGGTCCCAAATCCGCTAAAACCACATATCCAGTCCTTTAAAGATATGATGGCCATCGCTAACCCCACTTTTGAAGATACCATGGCCGCTGAAACTGGATTCAATGACATTAATTTGTGGTTAGAATGGATGAGGTATAATGCCAACAAACATAATAAAACAGCATGTTATGTATGTGGCGGTGCCCGACCCCACCTTGGCACCGTCCCCCTAACTCTCCCTTTAGAGATAGAAGATTGCTTCTTAAGCCTTTTTGCCTACCAATATGACTTTAATAGGTCCCTCTGCATGGCATGGACGGCAGAATACCCTCTCTTAGTTGAAAATGTTAAGCCACCAGATGGAATCACAGTCTATAGAGGTAATTACACTTGTTATGCCATGTATGACGGGATTGGTAAATTCATGGATAATTTTTCTAAAGGTTATTGCGCCACTTACAGAACTGTTCCTATACGCCTGTTGCAACACCATACCAGGTCATTGGGGGATATTTACTGGTTATGTGGGGATCTACAGTTAAGATCTAGGCTGGAAACTGAGTGGTGGGGTGAGTGTACCCTAGCCAAAGTTATCATGCCCATTCATATTATTTCTGATAATCATCATGACACATACGACCCTCCACATACACCAGCCAGAGTGAGGCGCGAAACCCCAGTAAAAGGCAGTTTTGACCCCCACATTTACATAGATGCCATTGGGGTACCTAGGGGGGTGCCTAATGAATTTAAAACTAGAGATGAAGTAGCTCTAGGTTTTGAATCACTGTTCACTATAGTCACTGCCAACAAAAACCTTAATTGGATTAACTACATTTATTACAACCAACAGCGCTTCGTGAACTACACCAGGGATGCCCTCCAGGGCTTGGCCGAGCAATTACAGGCCACATCCCAAATGACCTTCCAGAACAGACTGGCCTTAGACATGATCTTAGCCGAAAAAGGGGGGTCTGTAAAATACTTCCCGACACTATGACTTGTTGCACTTACATTCCAGAAAACACAGGTCCTAATGGTAAAGTCACTCTGGCCATAGCTAAATTAAATAGACTCTCAGAAGAGTTAAAGAGAAACTCTGGAGTTACTGATCCCTGGGAAAAATGGTTTGGTTGGATGACTGGTTGGCAGAGAGCTTTAGTCCAGATTGGTATTGCCTTACTAATTTTTCTTTTTATTCTCGCTCTTCTCATTTGTTGTGTCCTCCCATGCCTAAGGAAATTCCTGCAGAAAACTGTAGACCAAGCAACACCAACCTTCACTCATCTGACAATCGATGATCAAGATCTCACCTCACCCTGTATTCCGCTACAAACTCTCCCTTATACTGATGAAGTGCAGAAAGTCTAGGAAGGGACAGTACAGGGACAGCGTCCGTCTTTATGGGTAGACTGCCGTACGGAGAAGTAGTGGATAAGCCACTATGGGTTACCAGCGGAGTGAAGAGTGTTCCTGAACCGTACTGACGGATGTGCTGCAGCCTGTTAGGGTCAAGAGAGGGATAGACTTGCACTTTGCATTAACACTAAGTCAGCGGTCATGGGGTTTCTGTGTCTTTGGGCTAATACATCTTCTGATACTAACAAATAAAGTTTTGTCTTTTAGCAAATAACATTTTAGGGGGGACTGTTGTAGAATTATTAGGCCTCTATAAATCTGTAAGGCCCCTTTAAATCCTCTTGCTATACCTCTAAGAGGCCCCCATAGTTTTACAAGAAAGCTTTGTCTATAGAACATAGAATTTGCATGTCAGCAAGAAATAGCTTTGATAAAATGTGTATTTACTAAAAGCCTTGAAACCTAACCTTGAGAAACTAACCGTGCCAGCTACACTCTAAATGGATAGCTGCCAAAAGGCCCCTCCCGTCGAGTGAGCTCCTCATGTTAGCAAAATGGCGCTAAAACCTGGAGGAGATGATCATGACGAGGATAGTGACTTAAGATGGTACACCCCATAGGGAGGGCATTTTACTAACATCTTAGCACCTAAGCCAATTAACAATGTCTATTTGTCTATATCTTGATTTTCTTCAATGATGTAATAATGCCTTTAAAAGGGTCTGCGCACCCATTTTCTGTCAGAAGCCATTAAACTTCTCCGAAGTTCTTTCATTAACCTGAACTCTTGTGTCTCAGTGTGAATTTACTTCTGCGTGCACGCAACTTTATTATCATTAATTTGGACAGGAACAGATAGTCATTCAAACTAATTGGTTTGCAGTAAATTATCTACAACACTATGATGTACTTCTTTTAATTGTGATGCAATTTGTTCATCTTTTCCTATTTTGCATGTGTTTGTACAAAATTCCTTCAATAAAAAATATAAACATGAAAAAGAAAGTTTTCACCGGGCTTTTATGGCTCTGGATAATTTCTTTGGAAAATGTGAACCTTATCAAATAGCCTGATATGTGATTGTGAGACGGAAAACCTGTTCCATAGCTTCTGGTCTTTTGAACACGTTGAAGGGTTCTGGAAAATTGTCCAATCATATGCTATCTAATCCCTGCCCATTATCTTATCCAAATCTCCCAATTTAGTAATTCTGAATAATTTCTCAACTTAAACATATCATTTTCATCTTGGCAGTGGTGGCGGTAAAATATATCTTGCTACCCTGGATACAACCAGATTCCCTAACTCTTAACATTCTTAGAACCCTCTTACATGTAGAAAATAAAGCAGTCCTTCCAACATGCGAATTGGCAATTATACCAAAACTTGTTAAATGTTCACCATTCTGATCACTTAACCACCCTATGAAGCCTTCTTTCTTTGAATCCACAGATTTTCTCCAATTCTTATGAAGACTGATTTATTTTGATTGCATGTTTACTTCTGATTGAGGCTAATGGCTTTTATTTATTATTGTCCTTGCATTCTCTAATATACCTCTTTGTATAAGGTTTCCCAACTTACCCTAACAGCTACTGTACCTAACTTACCTGTTTGATTGCTATATCCACCCCTTTCACGTGCCAGCATAACATAGTCGCTCCTCATATTGCACAGAGGTGAAGGCTGCCCTGAAACCGCATGATGTCATGTCCTGGTTCTTTTCCCCTTTAGAAAGGCTTGTTCATGCCTTTCTGCCTGGGCGTTCGGTAGATTGAATCTACTGGACCAACGCACGAATGGGGAGACCACCTGGGCAAGGAGTGTGCCAATGATTTACCTCCCAGAAGCTGCGGTTAACTGCAGTTTAATTGGTGAACGCTGGATGGCCGCTGTTCATATAACCGAACATGTGTCAGCGGCTATCATAAACTCCCAAAAGGCCAGAGGTGATCAGCTCCAAATCTATGGAACTCAAAACGGAAACTTGTTTGCACGAACACCGCTGAGACACCAACCTTCCTTCTCCTGCAATTCATACGAACGCCGTCCGTTCGGTACTTTCCCTATGTGAGCAGTGTTACCCCAGATAGCTATGCCATGAAGCCCATTCGTATAACGAAAGACTGTATGAAAGACTTTGGCTCCATGGCGATTGAACTGTATGTATGTGATCTGAGCGCCATTCGGTAATAATGAGCGCTCAGATCTAAGCTATCTGGGGATATGTTGAATATATATGTTTTATGTAGTAATTGTAACACTGTGTAATTTTATGTCTTTTTACTAACATGTGGCTAATGGAGTTTTGCCTCTGTCCTTGGAGATAATTGGATTTCTTCCCAATTATCTCCAGGACAGAGAGGAGGGATTATAATACATTGTGGGAGTATTTAAATGTGTAAGCTTGTGATTGGTCCCAGTTTTCCATCTTGACCCCTAGGGGAGAGTCCACCAGGTGGAAGACCTGCATAAAAGCCTGGCAGGTAGCCCCAGTAAATCAGTTCTGCTTGACCCTCAAACGAAGTGTTGTCTTGTTCTTGGGGGGATTTGATTTGTATGCTGCTACAGTGCGACTGCCAGGAGTTTAAACTGTTCGTATGGTTTTTCCTGTTTGGCTGTTTACAGCATTCGTATGGTTCCAGTTCGGGAGTTGGAGAATTTGTGTGTTTTCAGTTCGGGAGTTGGAGAATTCGTGTGTTTCCTGTTCGGGAGATTGGTGCTTGCAGTAGCTGCCTGTCTATCTGGAAGGGGAATTATCTTCAATTTTATTAAGTTATCTATAGTTGTCTGCAGGCTATTTAGGTCATGCTTATTTAGACACCTTTTAGAACATTCTTGCTGGTTTTTACACTTCTCAAGGCTCTGCCAGAATAGAGGCACTCTTTTCCTGAATAGCGGGAAATAAAGCAGTGTGGATTTCTACACTTATTTACTTTTTCAGACCTCACAAATGCATAATTGCTAAATACCGTGGCTAGGTAAAGTTAATATTAAGAATTAATTTGATGCTATAGCTGCCTTTAAGAATACATGGGATTTTCTGTTTTTCTGGACATGTATTTTAAACTTTGTTTTTTCTTTTTCCATGAACTGAAATTATTCATAGATCATTACCTGCATAATTGAAAGCAATTGTAAGACTGAACAGAATACTTGATTTATCTGTACACAGGTTTCATGGTTCTAAGACAGAACATCAATACAGTTAAGACACAATTCTGATGAGGAACTGAAAGGATACACAGTTAAGTATGCAGCTAAAAAGGTGGAGGGTGTCATACAATGGCTCAGAAAGAAAACGAATTGAGAGGATGGATTGCTATCACAAAATCAGGATGAAACATTTTTGAAGCATTTTTTTTTTCTCTGAGTCTTGGTTTCAGCAGCACATTGTAGTTTAAAGACAGGCACAGTAAATCCTTTTATGAAAACAAACTGGGTGCATTTGATAGATTGTACCGAGATCTATTACATAAAGCTGCAATTTACTATCCTAGGCATCCTGTGCCATCTGTGCTTTCATATCACTGTTGACATGAGAACCCTAGGAACATTGCTTGAGATGACAACATCACGTGCACTGGCCGCCCATGCCCAGAATCGAATAGCTAATTATAGGAATCCAAGGACTGGGACTTATAGGTTACCGGCTGTCAAGGAGGTTAAGGAAACAGTTGTTCTTTTATTAGTATAATTGCCATTTTATAGTCTAAACACATTCTGTAACACTTTACCATTTTACATTGGGGAACAGGGGTGGTGGAGTCAGAGCCCAAACTCAGGAAACGGACAGCCAGCTTGTTTGTTGATGCTATAGATTCAATTTAAAAAATGTCTAAAGTTTTATTGCAAACATACTGCATGTGACTCTTTTATTGCTGTGCACTATATATTATATTTAGAGATGGTGTACATTTATTTGAATGTTATTGCTGTGAACCTTTGCAATTCTCTTGTAGATACTGCACATTACTGTGAGTTTTTTCCTCAAATGTTTTTATAAAAACAACGCCAAGCACCCAGGCCACTTCCTCTCATTAAATGAGTCTGGGTGAAGTGCCCTTGTTCAGAGGAACTGCAATGTTTACATTGCAAGGTTGTCTCTCAGATAGCTGTCTCTCAGATAGCTACTAGAGAAGCTCCCTGGCAGTTGGATGTCCTCACATTTTGCATGAGAATGTCCAACATCTTCAAAACCCCCATAGGAAAGCATTGATTTGCGCATGTGCATTAGTGTCTCCAATCAGCGTGACATCGCAGGGATAGGACCTCCAGACAAAATTTTTAATCTATTTAGCAGTTTCTTTCATTAGCTTTTGTAGGTAAGTAAAAGATTTTTCAAGTAAAAGTCAATTTTTTTAAAAAAAAAATTTCACCATTTTTTATTTTTTTTAAGTAAATTATATGACATGATAAAAATAATGGTATGTAAAGAAAGCCATTCTTGTCCTGAACAAAACAATATATAATTTATATGGGAACAGTAAATGAGAGAGTAGAAAATTACAGCTAAACACAAACACCACAAAAGTGTTA